GGCCTGGGTTGTAGTCCAAAATTGTGGGCCGACCCGTAACCGGCCCGGAACCCGCAGCGGGCGGGCTTTTTTTCACGCGGGCCGTTACCGGGCTCACATGTTGGCGGGCCGACCCGGCCTGGACCACCCGGATTGACACCTCCATCTCCGACCAACCCTCCGGCCGGCAGCCGCATTCACCTTCACCTCCAGCAGGTGCCAAAGAAGCTAGAAATCGAAACTGAGCAAATCATCTCCGACACGTGATATCGGGTCCTCCCTTCACCTCCTTCCTCGCTTCCCAGTTCTTGCAGAGAGGGAGAATGAAGAAAAAAGGGCAGAAATACTTTGCCGAAGATGCTTGAACCGATAAAGCATTAACAGAGGGTTTATTATTGTCTTCTTCTGTGAAGAGCAAGAAGATGAATTCCTATTCTCAAGAACAAGAATCATTTCTCCATAATCCAGCTATTGATGCCCTTTACAGTGACAGAAAATGTCTTCTTCTGTGAAGAGCAAGAAGATGAATTCCTATTCTCAGGAACAAGAATATTTCTCCATAATCCAGCTATTGATGCCCTTTACTGTGACAAAAAATGTTTTAATGAAGAGATAGGATGGAGAATCTGGTGAGAATTCTGGTCTTTATTGGTTTTCAAAAGCAATTCCTTGAGCCCAATTGAAATCAAAATCGAAATTTTTTAATTTTTTTTTTTTTATCGATTTTACATTTTCAAAATACATTTTACTTTCTTTGCAGGTTAGCAATCAGGAAGCAGTAGCTGTAGTTCATCATTTATGCTTGGTCATTGACAAGCCAGAACCATTTTCTGCTTGCAATAAGCTCGTGGATTTCTCGCATTCGGATGTTGTAACTTTGTATTAGCTATTTGGTTCGTCTTAATGTATTAACGGTTTGGCCATAATTACTTGAGGCATAATTACAAGTTATACTGGAACATGAATACAAGGCTCATATTTCTCTTGAATATAGATTCTGGTGACGATGAAATAGATGACCCGACTGCCCACGAATCATTAGAGCTATCAGAGCATAAATATGCATCAACGACACCTTTTGGATTGCTTAATATAGGCTCGTGTTTGCGTTTCTGGCAAGGTCTGTGGCAACGATCATCCATTACCTCCAGGATTAGTTTATTGCAGTATTCGCCGTGAATCCATAGTGGGCAATCACCTTCACCACATAATATATTCTTTTCTCATTATTTCTAGTGACCCATCAGATTTTATTTCATCGTAACTCAAATTGGCCCGTGTTTTTTCTTTAGAAGAGACTCATAAGCAGTTAAGCGCATCCTCCCAGAAAAGGTATGATCAAATAAGAAAGCTAAGGGCTTTTTACAAATTTCATCGGAATCTCCAATTCCCGACTCCTGCAACCCATGCCCCACCTCTCAAATCTTCATTAAAACATTTTTCCTCACAGTAAAGGGCATCAATAGCTGGATTATGGAGAAATGATTCTTGTTCTTTAGAATAGGAATTCATCTTCTCTTCTGAGAAGAAGACACTAATAAACCCTCTGTTAATGCTTTTTTTTTCCCGTTCTCCCTCTCTGCAAGCAGGAGCCGATGCAGAACTTTAACGTTGGAGGGCACAATCGAACTTGCAAAGAAGTTGGTTGAAATTTCGAAATTTTTTAAGAATGTAAAATTTCGAAATTTTTTGAAAATTTCCTAATAAAATGATGAATATTATATTAAGAGATTTGTATCGCAAAAATGATAAATATTAATGAAATAATTGATTTTTTTATAAAAAAAAATGTGAGTTAAACGTTTTTTTAAAGGTTCACGTTTAACGTATTTTTAACTATTTTCGATATATGTTTGAACTATTCGATATGTCCATAATATAATTCTTGAAATAAGCTTTGAAATGATACAAAAAATTTGTAAATTCGATTAGCGTACGATCGTCGGAGAATTTTTAAAATTAGTATATTTTGAAATTCAAATTTATTTTGATTTTGTCCATGTTTGATGGAGATTAAAATCAATTTTTTAGTAAATTT